TTGTCATTTTTGGTAAAAAATGATATTTTCGATTTCTTGTTAAAAACCGCAAGTTCGATTGCTTTGATATTACATATATAGGTACTACATGTGGACTTCTCTCAGATTTGTTCATTTTGTGATGATATCTTCAATTCTCTAATTTTGGTGAATATTTTTGTAATTTTTGGTAAAAAGTGATATTTTCGACTTCTTGTTAAAAACCAATAGTTCAATTGCTTTGATATTACATATATAGGTACTACATGTGGACCTCTCTCAGATTTGTTCATTTTGTGATGATATCTTCAATTCTCTAATTAATTTATTTTGGTGAATATTTTTTGTTATTTTTGGTAAAAAGTGATATTTTCGACTTCTTGTTAAAAACTGTAAGTCCGATTGCTTTGACACTATTCATATTGTTCATTTTCTAATGATGTCTTCAGTTCTTTAATTGAAATGTGCATTGCTAACAGCGGAGCTATCTCAGCCGATAGGCTGCTTGTTTATGAACATGTTTTCATAATTTCTATTTTTATTTTCAGTGTGAAGGGGAAAACCAATGTAATTTATGGACATTTGTAGATTTGTTGATATTTATTTTAATGGGAGTGGTCGGTGGTTTGCTCGGTGCATTATTTAATTCTTTAAATACGGCGTTATCGAAGCACCGATTGAAATATGTGAACACAAGAAGTAGATGCGTCAGGTGAGTGTCTGTTAAAATTCAATTTTTCGTTCACAGTGAGTTCTCATGTCATGTATGAAATCAAATACCAAAACCGTACAAACAAAGTTCAAAGCGTTGTAGTGAAGTTAAACATCGTGTGGGATTCGTCAAGCAGGAAAGTATTTTAAGGGTATTTCCACGCCTAATAATGTACGTGCTATATACATTTGATGATGGTGTTTGCTTGTGCGATCATTTGTCATCTAGGATATGGGTAAATCTTTCAAAAATATTTCTTCATTTATGGCTGACTACAGATTAAAGATTTGAACGGTTTCACCATTTTACGCCATAAAACTGAGAAATTTTTTAGAATTGTGGGTATCACCAAAATTATATGCCTTCACAGTGAAATAACGTCTTTACCTTTCAACACTTAACAAATCAAGTCATTGAAAAATACTTACTTTCTTGAGTTTTAATTCATCCATTTATTCAGAATCCTGCTAAAAGGCTTCACAAACAATTAGTTAAAACACAGTTGCTTGAATGTGGGGTTGTTTAGTAAATGAATATTTAAACGACATGCATCATACTTCAAATTGTTGGTAAACATTGTATTTTACATACTTTACAAAAGATCGTTATCAAATACGAGTAATACATGACATATTTAATTTGCATATACTATATTTGGTCTATTAAAAGTTCATGTACACCAAAAATTGCATTCATAATTAATCATTAAAATCTGAACTTGACATCAGTTTGCCACTTTGTATATATCATTTATTGAGAACACACAACATCCTTCTGAAAAGTTGAGAAGGGTTACATTTCTTACATTGTAAAACTAACAAAATTCTCACAATAAATTGACTAATTCTAATAAGCTAACAACTATACTACAACTGTACTATTTCAAAATATCAACGATAAAAAAATACTACAAAATTACAACTATAAAATGGTCTAGAACTATATTATAAATGATGATGGTTATGCTGTTTATGTTCAAATCATTATGCAAATATATGTACTTTGTTAGGCCTTCAACACACAGTTACAATTGACCATTTTCCATTCAGTGCGAGAATCACGCGTTATGCGTGAAATCGAACGTAAAAACAGGACAAACAAAGATCATAGTGTCGTAGTCGCGTCAAACATCACGTGGGATTCGACAAATGCGAAAATATTTTGGGAGGCATTTCCATGCTTAATACATGCTGTACACATTTGATGATAGACAATTTTGATTAAGTAAGGGTATTCGAAAGCAATATTCCTCTGTCGAAGATCGGCCGGTCAATGTAAGCTAAGAAATAAAGAAATTCAAGTTCAAAATCAAATCGTTCGATTTTTGCAGCAGACGCTCGACACGCGTCTTTCATGCATCTCGCAAGATCTTGCAGTTGAACAGAAAATTACCTATGAATATGGCATGTTTAAAATACACGTCTCTGACTGCCCTAGAATTATATTACACAGCTGACCACAAACAAAATAGCCACCAGCCAGCCATCATTAACCAAACTGAGAAACAAAATTTGGTATATGTTCAATTCAAAAAATACATTAAAATTTTGCAATCACAACTGAAATACATGTACCAAAAATTTTTTTCAAAAACGAGGTGAATTGAAAGAAGTCACAGCTTTTGTTTTTGTCAGAATGTTTGTAAAAAATAAATCTAACTTTGATGAACAATACCAATCCATCGATTTTGCAAACAAATTGACTAGAGCCTTTTTTCTTTAATTTTGTGATGTTTACATCATATAGTTTTTTGATTTCATTAAAAAAAAATAGTCAACTGGCTGCCAATTTGTTGTTTTATTGTGTCCTACCATTTCTCTGATACATTTTACTCATTTTGTTGAATACAATTCAATTGGTTTGATGAAATTCGATGAAATTTGAAGTGACAGCCATTTTCTTTTAGTTTACAATTGACTGATGTTTAATTTTGTACAAGTTTTTATAAGCAAGAGAATTTTTTGTTTTGATGAAATTTCTTTTGAGTTCTCAAATGCCAATTAATGCAAATACAATCAGTTCTTATTAATTTATGCTCTCACAGAGTTGTAGAGGCTGTGTTTGTTGCCATGGTAACTACCACATTAGCATTTGTTGCAGCGATGACACTGGGCGAGTGTAAAGAAATTCCAGATGTAAGTATTTAATTAAAAAAAAAATGATGTAACTATAAATCAAATCTTACAAAATAAGTATTCAACATGCTGCCACAAGATTCATTATTAAGTAAGTTAGGTGGTATTGTGAAGCTACTCAGGTTATCAATTAAAAATCACATTGAATATGAAGAGATAGGATAATACAGCCACAAGTTTCAAACCAGCTTCTCACATATGCAATATCAGATATTTTTTTTATCACAATCATATCATTCATTCTCAAATTTTAATGAGTATCATGTGGGGTTTACATGCCATGGTTACTATGTTACTATGACAACATCAACACTTCAATAGCATCAAATAATCTTAAAAATACAAACTTGTAGATCGAAACTAGTATGAATTGAAAATGGTGACATTATAAACATTTTTTTTATGATTTTGAATATACATATTATATACTGTTGAATTCATTTTTCTACAACTGATATAGACGGTAATGGCCGCCAAGATCTATTCCTGACACATGAAGTTATCTAGAAGAAAGCTTCTTTGTGTGTGACAAATTCAAATTGGCTCAAACCTAACAAATTAGCTTCACTCTACAAACACTTTGATGCAATTATCCACTACAGCTATTTTACCATCATTACACACTGCTACACCACAGGGCACACTCAGTCCATCCTTGTCACTATCAATCCTGCAAATAAACTGACCATAGCTGTCATACTTTGTGACTTTATTCTCACTACTCACATAGACATAATCATTCTTATCTATGGCCACTCCCCTGGGATTACTCATTGTACTGTCACCCATGGAAGAGAATTGAAACATAAACTTGTCATCAGAATTCAATACCTGAATACGGCCGTTGTCACGATCTGCCACATACATCATTCCTTTACTATTCATGGCTAACATGCATCCATTGTACTCACTTTGTTTAGATCCTTTCTTCCAAAATGACTTAATATACTTCCCACCCTGTGTATACTTCCTAATACAATGCTTACTCCACTCACTCACATACACATTCTTAGTAACAGGATTAATTGTAATTCCATATGGATTATCAATTTCAGAGCTTCCAAACTTTGTAATTATCTTTCCATTTTCATCACTCACAACTATTTGTTTGTTATTATCATCTGTCATAAAGTATGCATTATCATCTGATATTGCGACATCCCATGGTCTGAAAGGCTTTACAAACTGATCTGTAAATTCAAATGATTGTTTGTAATTTCCGTCTCTGTCATGTATGACAACTCTTTTATTCAATCTATCAGCTGTTACAAAGTCACCATGTTTGTTAATGGTTATTCCCCAAGGATTGTTCAGCTCCCCTTGTCCTGCTTTTCCCACTGTCTGTACCAATCCTCTTATAACAGGTATATTGAATGGTGATCCTTGTATATGTTGGTTACCAATCGTCATGGCAACTTCCTGTATTCCTTTCATCTTTCCTGTTATAATTACTTGATATGTCCCATTGTTATTTTCTGTAACATCAATATCTTCCCATGATGCATCATTGATTCTTGTTTTTACCTTGACATCTTGACGGGGAATGATTTGTTTCCCTCTTGAATCTCTGGTTGTGATGAGCAAGTTGACAGATTCACCTTTCATAAGTTGTTTTGGAATGTTGTCGATTGTGCATTTGGATGAACAGGCATCAAATTTGATGACTCCTAACAATTCACATGAAGCAAGGTAACTTCCGGACTGAAACTCGATGATATCTTTCATGATTAGTGGGTTTGATTCCATAGCAACCAGCTGCATAATCCGTGTTCTAGTTTCAGTTATGGTAGAAAGTATGTGAACTGCATTCCCATGATGCACCATTGTGTCTAGATAATGGTGTGTATTAATAATGTTGCCATGGTGAAACTCCATCTCATCAATAGTCATTGCTGCATCTTTTAAAGCCATCCTGGCACTTTCATCCAAGGCATCTATCAGCATCTTTTCCTCTTCCTTCACTCTCTCCATCACTTCCTTTGCTCTTTTCCTAACTTTCATTTTCTCTGCCTCACACTGCTCACTGATTTCTTCTCTTGTAGATTCAGCAGCAGCTTTTCCCTTCTCTACTTGCTTCTCTTTAATTTTTAACTGTCCTAACATTTCCCTCAGTTGTGTCTTATACTCATCTGCTACTTTCTGCAAGTCTCTATGGACATGTTCAGGAACTCTGTGTTCAACTATGGTACACTCAACACATACAGGTACTTGACAAGTGTCACAGTAGAATTTCAGCTGGCTGTCTTTATGATCACTGCAGAAAACTTTGGACTGTACTGTGAGGTTACTCTTAGATTCTATCTCTCTGTACTCATCCATTTTTAGTACTTGGTGACTTCGGAGAGGTGGAATATGTTCATGCATTTCAACACAGACGTCACAGCTAAACTGAGGACAGTCTACACACCTGTGAGTTGCTGTCTTCTCTTTGCATATCTCACACATTGGTGGGTGGTCTGTACTCTGCTGCCCCTGTCTCTGGAACGTGTCAAGTAGGCTTGTTAAAAAGAAGTTGGATTTTAGTTCTTGAATAGGTGTGTCACACTGAATTCTGCATGTTGCACACTTCAAAACACCTCCAGATTTGACCTTAAAATCAACCAAACATTGCTCACAGAATGTATGAAGACATGGAAGAGCTTTAGGATTTTTGTAAAACTCCAAACAGATGGAACAACTGAGGAAATCCTCACCAAGTTCGTCTAGGAGGGACTTAGCTGCAGCCATAGCCATGGTGGAATTTTTCTAATAATGAATGTGCTGTACTGATGAACTGCCTAGAAATGCAACAATTCACACTATGTATTTCATTTTTCCGGGTGTTTACAATGACTGGATGGCAAAAATGATTTACTGCGTTTCAAATTATTGCCAGCCTAGGGGGTCTTCTCTATATCGACAGTGTATTCACTGCTTGGATTCATGCCAAACACCCTGTCACAGAACTTTGTTTATGCACAATCCCTCAACTGAGGGACTATGGCTTATAGTACCGGTAACCTAACTCCACTTTCACCCACCATCAAGCTAACTTGACTCAACAATGGTCAAAACAATTGCTGTAAAACATGTTGAAAAGCGCCATGCAATTTTAGCAAATTGTGGTAAAATGAAGTAATGGCTAAATGTTGATTTAGCAAATCTCTCTTGTCATTTTTAATTTCCTGTTTTCACAATACTTGTCTGTAGCACGCCAAAACAAATGCGAAGTTATCACCTCCATAAAAACAAAATTTGATTCTGTTCGCAATGATTAAAAACTGATTCAACAGGGATTTGAAAAAGCGGGTATTGTTGCTGCGTTACATCCAGAACATTGACCTTATATATTGTGACTCAAAAATTACTAAGTACTACTAATTTCCGTAGTAATACATATATCAGTATCACTTCATTTATATATTTTCATTGAAATAATAACTACAATGAATACGTTTATTTTTTGTGTTAATTTACTTTTCAATAAAGGGTATCTATCATGTCAGTACGTTTTTTTGTGTTGTTTACAAAGTGTGTGTGAAGAAAAAAGATGTTGTTTGGTGGCCATTTTGAATTAATAATAAATTCATTCGCGACATCTTGAATTAGCGAATCAGTTCTCTTGCTAAATTCGCTAAAAAGACATGCTCGCGAAAAAGACATGTTTTACAGTATTTTTACTTAACATATATCTTTTACTTAAATTTCAACAGTGTTAATAGTGAATATTTTTCCAGTACCAGCCTAATTGAGGTTCAATACTTGATATGTATCCTTAGGTGGGCCGCTATCAAATTTGTTTATTTCGTGAAGATAACTTATTAGTTTCCGTTCGAACACAGTTCGTGCATGTATCTTAGAAATGCCCAAATCATAATCAAACTTCAAACATACATCATGCATGATATTATATGCACGTCAATTTGTTTCACGATCTGATTCAAGATGGCCGAATGGTGGCCATTTTCGTGCTAAAAATCATCATAATCAAGCATTTCTCGGCTGTTTACAAATAGATTTTGTTCAAACTTGGTATATACATTAAACATTATGGGACGTTGATGCAAACAATTTTATTTTTCAGATCGGATTCAAAATGGCTGACTGGCGGCCATTTTGTTTTAATGAATGGGCTTCTAGACTTGCTTTCACTGATTATGTTCAAATTTTTAATATTCATTATACATCATGTCATAGATATACAGATATACCCTTATTGGTTTGACGATCCTATTCAAAATGGCCAAATGGTGGCCATTTTTATGCTAAAAAAATCATCAAATATCAAGCATTTCTGGCATTCATGAATGGATTCCGTTCAAACTTGGTACATACATTAGACATTATGGGTTCCTGATGCACGTCATTTTATTTTTTCAGATCGGATTCAAAATGGCTGACTGGTGGCCATTTTGTTTTAATGAATGGGCTTCTAGACTTGCCTTGACTGATTATGTTCAAATTTTATATATATTCGTTATACATCATTTTATAGATATATACATGTATTCGAAATGGCTGATTTTGTTTTAATTAATGCTGTTCCAGAGCAATATCTCCCAATATGGACAAGTACTTGTTTGACGATCAGATACAAATGTGAATCATTTTAATGTTAAACAATCATCATAATCATATTCCTGACATAGTTATATTCCAGCTATATTACTATAAACAAAACTATATATCTTAAATTTGATAACTAACGAGGACTGTGCCATGCATGGCTTGTTTTTTCTACTATTGTTTAACAATTATTTTTTTTTTACCAAAAAAAAAGTATTTTGTGCTTGTTGTAAGCTTATGGGAACTGAGCAGGTGGAACAATTATGCATAGAATAGGCTGCCATTGCCGTAAATGGACTTCTAGAACAGTGAAAAATATAAAACAGCCGAGAAAACAAAAATACTGAAGCAGACTGAGAATCTGCTGCCACTAGGTGGCGCTATATTGCGGTGGCTACAACAGAGAAAACTGAACAGGCAAATCTATATCTATATATTTTCACTGGGTTTAAATTTCGCTGATTTACCATTTCAGGCATATTCAGTGGGTTTTAAATTCACAGTTTTATCAATTAGATAATGTGTTCTACGCTAAATTTTACAGATTCACTGGGTTTTAATTTAGCGCATTTTCCAGTCAGCAAAATAAGAAAAATTAAAACCCAGTGAATAATTAATGCTTTTACAGTATGTGCAGCGATTAACCAAATTTATGCTGAAAACAAATTTAACACAATTATTTTGACATTTGTTATGTATCCACAGTCCCTCTATCATGATAGAGGGACTGTGTATGTATGTACATTTTTTTGTGTGTTTGCTCTATATAGCATTCGTTTCAAATTACATTACCGGTCCTGAGCATTACGTCATGTGACTCATTGAGTAAATAAAAACATCACATTTGTAATTATAACCGCAATAGTGTTGAAATAATTTCTCAAACGTTTTGTTTAGGCAAAAAACTCTCCTGAGATTCACAACAAATCATTGACAAATAATAACGGAGGAGTGCAGTTAGTAAAATACTATTTATGCTCTTTGCAAATTTTTTTCATTTGATATATTTGAATCACTGTAAGAATTTCTATGATCACATCGGTTTTATTTTCAGTAAGATATCGGCCAATATTAGACGTACTATTGAGCTTCGTCAATTATAAAATCAATCATAAAAACGCCCTTGTTTTCTCAGGAGACTAGAATCAATTTTGTCCATAAATTTGGACAATTATTTTTGCTATATTGAAGGTATTTAACACTTTAAGTGTATTGTCAAGTTTTGGCACTGTCTACAAAATGATGGTGTAAAAATCAACAAACCTTTTGATCAAAAACCAAAAGCAATATCTGTATGCGTTGTCCAAAATGATGACAGAGTTTAGTGACAATTTAAAATCCATATTTTGCAAAATTTTATGAGTTTTTCTCTAATTTCTTTGATTATTTTGGACGTTTCAATGTTTTTGAAAAAAATATATGAAATAAATATTGGAATTTTACTTTCTAAAAGTGATAAATGTTGATTTTCTTGCTCAAAGAGTTAAAAAAATAATTTGAACCAAATTTTGATATTACAGCATTTTGTAAATTTGACCAGCAACTGAATTTACTGAAATTTTATTTTAATTTATAATTATATTAATTAATTTAATTAAATGACTTTAAACAATTTATCATCTCACACATCTTTTGTTACAGTGTCATGACTTAGTCAAAGTAATTTGTAAATTAAAATAACTGCATTTTCGATGAAAAACTTTCACAGGTTTACTGATCAGATTTTGAGAGATAAAACAATGATTTAAATATTTTTACATAGATCAGGGGCACATATCACAGAAACGGACGCTCAAAAATAAAGCCATGCAAACAAGGGCTATAGCATTGCATGATACTTATATTATTTAAATTGTTATTTATAATATCCCAATTTTTTTTTAGGCAAATTCAACTTTTGTTGACAATAACACTTACACTATAAGTGAAATAGAAGAGTCCGTCAGAACGTTCTTTTGCGATGATGGCTATTACAACGACATGGCTACTTTGTTTTTTAATCCACAAGAAACTGCTATTAAACAGTTATTCCATCAAGACGGTAAGTGAAATAATTTCCTATTAAGATCATATTGAAACGGGTATTCAGTTTTCCATGATTTACACACTTAAATTTTTTTTGCTGTTGTTCACAAAACTAACATAAAACAGTTCATAAATTAATAAACGCTGCTCGGACTGATAAATGCGATATATAGAAGATAATATTTTGTAATCGTAGTCCTAAGTAACTATTAAAAATAGCTTAGACGTTTTGAGCAATGGCTCCTTATCAATAACATAGAAGAAAATGTTTAAACGTAAAAACATATGGTCACAGAACTGCTTGTCATGTGAAAACAATACATGTAATAAAAAACATGAAAACAACAATTTGAGTCATTTAACATTGGGGTCTACGAGTAAAGGAAGTCCAAAAATGTAGTGAAAAAATATTATGTTATATAAGAAAGATAACGTTAATTGTCATAAATTATTAGAAGAATTCAATTTATTTTCTATGAAATAATGTATTCCTATGAAAATTGTTCTAAAAATGCCCATTTTTGGTATATCGGTATTGCTAAAAAAAAATTCTCGAGAACCAAGCTTTATTTGGGTAAAAACACTCATATGGCTGTGGCATATCTCAAAATATATAGTTAAGTAGCACTTTTAAAACAAATGTTATGATAAAACAAATGTTATGATAAAATTATCACCCTATTTAATAGACTGAAATACCAGGGTACGACTTCAGTAGTTAAAACATCACAATCATCACACAGTATGCATATACATTTTGTGTCAACAAAAAAATGTATTTTACATATGTTGTATACTATAAAACTGTATTCACTGTTTTCAACAACACGACGGCACATGCTCTAGTGTTTTCTCCGGTGAATGGAACATGTAGTCAAGTGTTGTGATACATTTCCATGGGAAATCGAACACAAAGTTGTTTTTGTCAGTGAAGCTATGCCGTGATATAAGACAGCTAAATCAAAATTTATGAAATTGATGAAGGAACCAGCTTTTGTAGCTTGCCCATGTTATCAAATCATTCATTTTAACTAAGGCCAAATACAGCGTTTCCTAACACGATCATGTATGGGTTTGTAGGGAGATCAACTAAGCCATGGATGGTCGACTTCAGCGAAACCATGCGAATCGAATGAAGGTGAATCTATGTGAATCCACACTCATCAGACCACTTTTCAAAATCACAAGCAAATGAAATTCCAACAAACAAACCAATGAGAAATGAAAATGATTGCCAAAATTCAGATGTTTCAAAAAATTTCATTTTGAATGTCTGTCAATTCCAGTGATATCTCAAGAACTGTATGTTGGTTTTTAATGAAACTTGGTGCATAGATGCTCTGGGCTAATGTGCAGATTTGATTAGGTTTTAGTAAAAATCCATGCATATTAATTACCTAATTTGCATGATAATTAGCTAATTTTTATCTGTTCCATGACTGTTCCACTGATATCTAAAGAGCCATTCATTGGATTTTGATGAAACTTGGTACATACTGTAGATGCTCTGGACTAATGCACAAATTTGATTAGCTTTGGATAAATGCATATAATTAACTTAACTTGCACAATGATTAGTCAATTTTTGGCTTTTCCACTGATATCACGGGTACTAATTATTCCATTTAAATGAACCTTGATACATAGATGCTCTAGGACAATGCACATACCTAATTAGTTTTGGGTTACAATCTTTGCTTATTAAATATCTAATTTACATAATAATTCAAAATTGTTTGTTCTAATCACATTTCAATGAAACTTGGTACAAAGATGATCTGTGACATTGCGCAGACCTGATTAGTTTGGGATTAAAATCTGTTTATATTAATTCCTAATTAGCATAATAATACATAATTTTTTGGTTCTAATCACATTTCAATGAAACTTGGTACAAAGATGGTCTGTGACATTGCGCAGACCTGATTAGTTTGGGATTAAAATCTGTTTATATTAATTCCTAATTAGCATAATAATACATAATTTTTTTGGTTCTAATCACATTTCAATAAAACTTGGTACATAGATGGTCTGTTACTTTGCACAGACCTCATTCGTTTTACACTAAAATCTGTTCATATTAATTTTCTGATTTGCATAATTAGTTTTCAGTTTTCAATATCTCAAGTACTAGTAATTTCAAATTATTTTTAATGTGTTTCCATTACTCTCAGCACATGGGAGTTCTTTCTAAGCTTCCTTTGATTTTAAGTATTTTCATTCTGACAGGTGCCTTCAGTCTGCCTTCTTTGGGTATATTCTTTATACTGTTTTATTTCCTGGCGTGTTGGACGTATGGTATTATGGTTCCGAGTGGTTTGTTTGTGCCGTCTTTACTCTGTGGCGCAGCCTATGGTAGATTTGTTGGGACTGTTCTCAAAAGGTAATTATGGTGTCATTCTCCTCTGGTTGATAGTTACTTCTTAAAGCGTGATAGTCGTCGCGCTGGGCATGTGCGAGATACATGGGTCTCATATAAACAAAGATGGGGACTTTGACTGTTGCTCAGATCAACGAGTACGAACTGAGACGTTTCCAAGCTTTAATTAGGTAATTTTCATGTGATTGGAAGGTATCGAAGGAGTCATCGGCAAACGTTTTTAAACATCTGGCAGCCATTTTGTTTTGTTTTTCAAAAGTTTACTTGCCCATTTCTCTGACAGACTTTAACCGTTATGTTAGATTTGGTACAAATTTGAGGCAAGATTGAGAAGTGATTGTTTGCAAATTTTCTAATGCTAGCGATTTGGGTTTTGATGACATTTTTCTCACTCTTGTGTCCTTAAATGTCAATTTTGTATAAAACAGGGACTATGCCATCAACAACGAGGTATACAATGTAATACGTAAATTAAATAAAAAAAATGTTTTTGTTTTTCCATACTTTAGCTAAGATATTCAGCCAAATATATATTTCAAAGTGTTCTACTGTACTTTTATTTTCCCTGTAGGTACCTTGGTTACCACCATATATATTCTGGTACGTTTGCGTTGATTGGTGCAGCTGCATTCCTTGGTGGTGTGGTACGAATGACAATCAGTTTAACGGTGATATTGATAGAGAGTACCAATGAAATCAGCTACGGATTCCCTATCATGGTCACACTTATGGTAAGAAACATGTACATTATTTGTACATTCAGTCGGATTAAATCCAATATAGATAAGGGTTCTGTTTGCCGCAGACTTCTGCCCAGCATCCGTGAGATTGCGGGTTTGACTCCTGTGGTCAGCTGACCTGGTGTGTGGTGTAATGGCTAGCGTGTTTGCCCAGCATTAGGGAGATTGTGGATTGGACTCCCGTGGTCACCTGACCTGGTGTGTGGAGTAATCGTTAGCGTGTCCGCCCAGCATCAGTGAGATTGTGGGTTTGAATCCTGTGGTCAGCTGACCTGGTGTGTGGAGTAATCGTTAGCGTGTTTGCCCAGCATCAGTGAAATTGTGGGTTTGAATCCTGTGGTCAGCTGACCTGATCTGTGGTGTAATGGTTAGCATGTCTACAAAGATTGTGAGTTGTGTACATACGTACATACATTAACATCTGACCAAATCAGTGATCATTGAGTAATCAACCAATAAGAACTCATGTTTTCTGCTGCTTCCCTAAGTAAGCAATGCTCTAATTGGTTGACAAATCCTCTTTCATGACAACTTTATTTTGCAAAAATCACTCTGACTATACTTGAACATAAGTGAAGTGTTAACTGCTACAAAATTTGTCCTAACTTGTGAAATTCATAAATATTTTTGTCACAAAATAAAAGACTTTCAGTGTGAAGTTCTTCATGGTGTTTCTTACATACAATGTTTTCTCTCAATCTTGTTAACCAGTTCACTCCATATTTACTTATTTTGTGATGTATATTCAAATTTCATTCGGTCTGAACAAAATTATTTTCACATTTTCACAAATCATCACCAACCTAACATTTTCACTGAGAGGTAAAATCTCCTGAAATTGAATCTATATGAACATTCGCTAACTGAAAAAATGGTCACTGGTAGCATAGTGGTTGTCGCATCAGACTCGGTAGACCAAAGTTCAAATCCTACCTTAGGCTGAACATCAAAAGGGTCGACCCATACTCTGGGTGAGTGTGCCACAGACTCAATGGGAAGGCCACTTCCACTGGCCAAGATTCATTCACTAACGAATGCGACTTTGGGGGATCCTTGGTTAAGATCCGCAGGTGCTTGTGTTCGACCGAGCCTGGTTGACTTCAGGATAGCGCATTAAAATTGCCATTTGATAGGAAGATGATCCCTGTCATGTAGTCCCAAACATGAATATGACTTCTGTGGCAAAAATGCACTATGTGACAGCACTTGCACTCGCTAACTTAATTGCTAACTTCAAAAATTGAGTGAATCAAAATATTAAATTAAAATGCCGGTGAAAATAAATAGTTTTACAGTAAAAAAACAATAGTTGGTTATTTTCAATGAGTATTCTGAAAGAAAAAAACCAGACTTGTCAAAACATTGAAAGGAAATTGGTTACGCTGGTACAAGAGACGAGTTTCGAGATATAGCTCCATCAGTCAGTTTCTGTACAAAATTGGGGGTTGATTTCCAGCTTCCACAATGTGTTCGCTGGTTTCCATGGTTCCCGGCATTCTGATGGTCTTTTGAACATTTTTGCAATTGGAACGTTTATGAAATTGGAATGTTTTTACACCACAGTTTCTAAGGTAACAGTGCAACTCAAAACTTGTCTAGTAAGTAGCCAGTTCTCTTGAACTTTTTGTGTAAAAATCTTGTTAACGATTCAACATTTGAACTTTTATTTTGCACGAGATAAATTTTCCCGAATTTGGCAAATTGTGAAATTTTGTAGCAGTGCACATTTCAGTGAATTCCCTTAGGCAGGGACAAACAGTGACTTTTACTGGCGTCATAGGGAGTTACAGTGATTTTCTCAGGAGTTCTGGGGAGCCATATTGACTTTCACTGGGTTCTTAAGAGTGCCATAATGCTTTCTCTTGGGTCCTAGGAAATCACAGTAACTTTCCTTTGAGTTCTAAGGTGTCCCAGTAACTTTCCCTTGGGTCCTAAGGTGTCACAGTAACTTTCTCTTTGGTCCTAAGGTGTCCTAGTGACTTATGTAATGTTGTCCTCATGGATACGTTTAAATCATCAAAATCATGAAAACTGATAGCGATAAACTGTTTACAGTAATTACCATTTATCTAATGTCACGCAATACAGGCAGAGACTGATACTGAATTTGTCTTTGATTTCAGGTTGCTAAGTGGGTGGGTGATCTATTCAACCATGGTATATACGATATACATATCCAACTAAAAAAGATTCCATTACTTGGTTGGGAGGCACCCCCAGGAATGGAAAGGTAACAGTGTTTTTAATATTCCACTTCTCATGATTAAAGCACCTCAGTTGTCTGGCATAATGTGTTAGAGTTTCATGTAATTTCAATGAACTTTACATGTATCCATATCAACCATGACAAGACCTGTGAATGGAGAAAATCTCGAATTAAAATGGCTTGAATATTGAATGCAAGACAAAACTGTATCTGGCCAAGCTCCCTTGCGAGATTTATCAACCAATCAGAAAATGTTTTAAACACTTGCTTTAACATTGTAGAAACAAGCATGAGTTTTGGTCGGTTGCTGATTATACACGATTTGAATGAGATTGTTTTCGGTAGTTGGTAAGATATAGTTAACATGGTTTATCCAGTTGCCATAGAGACCAGAGACGGTAAACTTCCCTGAAATTCACAGCAAATCACTGAAAAACGAATGTGGCAGTTAGGGTTGAAAATGTCAGTATCATCTTCACACATTAATCTTTTTAACACCAGTTCCCTTTCTTCATCACACATTTTATAGTCTGCACTTTCTATCAAAAGATTTGGAAAAAAATGGACAAATTTTTTGAGTAAAAACTGAAAGTTCACTCAAATTTTATCTGTTATTTGGAGACATTTCCATAAATATTGAAGAATATAAGATAAAAGTGCAGACAAATTTGGGGAAGAAATTCTGGTGGTGAAAAGGTCAAATTGACCTCATTTGATCTGTTTTGCACGCTTTGCAACATTATATTATTACCTCAGTTCTATTTATAATACTGTAAAATGACTAATTATCACTGGGTTTAAATTTCCCTGATTTTCCATTTCAGGCATATTCAGTGGGTTTTAAATTCACGGTTTTATTATTTAGATAATGTATTCCATGCTAAATTTGACATATTCACTAGGTATTAATTTAGCTCATTTTCCAGTCAGCGAATGAGCAAAATTAAAACCCACTGACTAATTAACCCATTGCAATTATGACATGTGCTGCATTGTATATTATAGTTTACGAGCACACGAAGTGATGGACACCAACATAGTGTATATATATCCACACACCAGAGTACAGTCCATTGTTAGTATATTGAGAACTACCAGACATAATGCCTATCCTGTTGTGACTGAATGTGTTGGGAAATCTGCAGAAAGAACAATCAGATCTAATACATTGGCAAGCCACAATATAGAATACAGGGTAAGTCTGTATTATGATAACTTATAAACCATGTGACTTTCTTCCAGAATTCTGGAAAAGTTCTTTCTAAATCTATGTGAATAATTCTAGAAAAATCATACAACTTTCTATAGAAATCTACAAGAATAATTCTAGAAAAGTTATACAACTTTCTATAGAAATCTATAGAATAATTCTAGAAAAGTTATACAATTTTCTGTAGAAATCTACAAGAATAATTCTAGGAAGGTTATACAACTTTCAATAGAAATTTACAAGAACAATTATAGAAAACTTTCTTTAGAAATCTATTTAAATAAAATTAATCTAGAAAAGTCGTACAATTATAGAAAACTAATTTAAGAATTAATTCTAGATAAGTTATGCAACTTTCTATAGATATCTATGGGGAATAATTCTAGAAAAGTTATACAATTTTCCATAGAAATCTACAGAAATGACATAACTGTCAAGTTGTATTGAGTTTGATTTCCATCAAGTGTAACAATTCAGTTATAATAAATAACGAATCTTTTATATTAAATTGAATTGTAAAAAAAAATTATCAATCATTGTACAGAATGGTGAAACTGTTCCCTATTAGTATGCCCCAAATATTCAACACTGGATTGATCACATGACAGTGCTTTGTGTACTAGAGATTTACAATATTTCATTCATCATATTGTAATATCGAAACCTATTTTCATCTCGTAGAGAGGCAGTACACTCACTAGAGCTGCTGAAGTCAAAAGAAGAACATTTTCACAAAGTTCACTGGAGTTAAGAAGAAGTAACAGTGTAAACTCACAAACGGGAATCAGACGAAGTAACAGTGATTTAACTCCTGAAGAGAGCATTAACAATTTACTCTTGGACAGGTGAGTGTCCATTACTAGTATATACCTTTGTATTGTGGTTGCTTGTGGTGTGTAATGTGGATTCTAGGCATGAGCGGCATATGGCTTTAGTAGAAGCAGTGTTATCCCCAGGATTTGTTCACAGGATGTAGACTAATTTGCATAAATTAGCATAACAATGAGATGAATGAATTTGCGTAAATTATTGGGGACTACTGTAAAACATTTTGAATTGATATTAAAATTTTTAGTGATATCTTGAATTAGCGAATCAGTTCTCTCGCTAAATTCGTGAAAAAGACATGCTCGCGAAAAAGACACATTTTACAGTATATAAAAAAACACACCATGCAAAAATTCAAATAAAAAGTTGAAAGTTTATTCTTTACCACTGCAGAAGTATTTACAGGTAGTGTATAAGCTGCAGACATATAGCGCTACATTCAATCGCTAAGGTGTCAATCACCGCTAAAAGTACCTATGTTTTCGAGGCGTGGGCGTTGAACTGTAGCAAAACAAAAGATTGGGCTGTCCACAATAGCGTATCGGATGGTATATTGGTCAAGACGATAGCATATCAGCATAAATTATAGCGTATCGGAACCATACGCTAAACCCTCT